CGCCCCCGCGCAGTGCCCCCAGGTAGGCTCGCGTTAGTGCCGCTGCGTACGCCACCTGGGGACGCAGGGACGGTCGTGCCCATTTTACCGGTGAGAAAACCGAGGCTGGAAGGTGATAGGTGACTTGCTGAAGGAGGCGCACTTAGTGAGGGCGGAGCTGGGATTCCAACCCAGGACTGCCCGGCCTCTGGAGGTTTGGTGAAATTCCAGCTATACAGCCCTGCCATCACCCCTTCCTCCCACTCCCCCGCACAGATCTCCCCTCCTCGCGACTTGATGCGCTTGCCCAGTGGCTTCTACGTGCAGAGTGGACGAGAGAAGACAAGGGGGCCTGGCTCGTGGCACTGGTACCCGGCCTGATCCCTGGGAGCTCTGATGCTCCCCCTACAACGAACTGAAAACTTTACTCGATTGTTGACTTAAATATACAAAAATAAAACTACTTCTGGCTTCTGAGGTCTTTGCCCTTGCTTTTCTTTTATTCACTTGGGTATTAAGTTCCTAGCTTGAGGACAGCAAAAGCAAGTAGTGATGGGGCTGGGGGCACACACGGGCCCAACTCAGGGCTTCTGAGCCTATGCACAGTGATCTCAGACACACCACTCCTGAGGTGACTTCCACCTTAGAATGAAGTGTTGCTAGAGGTTCCCTCAAGGAAGCAAGCTTGGTGACTTTGTGGCTGACTCCAGCATCCTCTCCTTCCAGTCCCTTATAGTGCCAGGCACTGTTCCAAGTGCTTTACATTAACAACTCACAGCAGTCACCCTGAATGGGTACTACTGTCACCTCCATTTTACGAATCAGGAAATAGAGGCACTGAAAATTTCAATGATTTGCTTGATTCACACTCTCAGAAACAGTTTCAGAGTTCTTAAGGCAAAAAGTTAAGAGCACAGGCTCTCTCTAGATCAGACTGCCTGGGGGGTAAATCCTGTGTGCTGTGTGGCCTTGAGTAGCTTCCTTAATTTTTCTGTGTTTCAGGCCCTTCATCCATAAATAACACCTCCTTCATAGGGTCCTCATCAGGAGTGACTCCATGGAGCATTCAGAGCCACACATGGCAAAGTATTAAGGCTGCCTGGGACCCTTGAGCAATTCACACGAAGTAATTTAAATGAGATAGTAAGTCATGGGGGGCGCTTCTCACAAGGGTCATCCCAGAAGGCCTGGGGAAGGCAGCATCCTCTCATCACCTCCTCAGGCTGGCACCTCTTGGCCCACCGTGGGATGTGTGAGCCTGTCTCAGGGTCTGCCAGTTTGTGAAGACCTGGGGTGAGTGGCTCTTCATACTGGTGTGTGCCCTCCTCTGAAGATTCTCTGTGTAAAATAATCCCCACACACATCCTCCCTAAACATCTGGGGAGTTTACCATCTAGAGATGAGGCCATGTTAACTTTTTAATGGATGGCAAAGTTTGCAAAGTGCCTTCCTGTGCTTCGGAGTTCACTGCTTTTTATAAGTGAGGAAGTGGACGTCAGAAAAGTTGAGATCTGCTAAGTTTCAGCAGTGGTGGAGTTACAGGGGTGCCCCTATCCATGAAAAGTGTCCACTGGGGGCTGTGTCTACATAATCCCAAACACCTGAATTAAAAATTAAATGTCAATCATTTGGATGTCTCCTAAGCCAAAGGAGTCCATCTGAATATTTGGGAACCCCAAGTGCTTGTGGTGGAGATGGCTGGCGACAATCCTCTGAAGGATATCTCTAGGCAGGGTTCTGACCTGGGAAGAATCTGTGATGCTACAGAGGACATGACAGCTGGGATTCTGGGCTCGTTCTATGCACAGAGGAAATTGTTTCAAAAACAGATAAGCTAGATTAATAAATAGCACTGCCCCAGGATGGTAGGGCCACCAGAAAGCAGGTTCAAGAACTGAATGTCCTCAGTTTGCAATTTGCAAATCCAAGTTTAGAACACAGTGTGCTGCAAGTAGAAGCCTGTTACACTGAGCCTGAATCCCACGACATTAGGATTCCTATGCTGTACCAAAGCCTGTGTGCCACCTGAGGCTGCTTACTTGCCATTTGCTTTATAGGAATTTTTAAAATGTGATTACTGTCAGGGATTACAGTGGGACCAGAAGGATAAACACAATCTTCCCTCTGCAGTTAGATAAAATGTAAAAGTTATCTTTCCTCTCTTAAATATGTTTTGTATTTCGTTGAGTTGATCACTGGGGATTTCCTATTGAGCTTGTGGGGAAGAGTGCTTTACCACCTGTGACCAGGTGGGGCTCCACTCAGCCGCTCTACTGAGCACAGCTTTGCAAAAAATCCTGTGAGACAGGACTCATTCCTAGAGCCTCAGCCATGCTGTTGCAAGATCTGAAGCCTGTGCAAAGCCATCTCTGGTGAGGATTAACCTGTGTACTTTGAAAAGTGCCAGGATTTGTGTTCAGTCCCTACCCTCAACTGAGGGCTTAGGCCCAAGAAGCACTTTTCCCTGAGCTTGATTTTGCTCACTACTGATGGCCTGTATGGTTCAGTCTTCACCAGAGCTGTTCCTAAGGACAGCTGGCCCAGGGCCTTTGGGAAGGTGCTCCCAGGCTGTTTATTTACCAGAGTCCCTTTTAGCTTGGTTGCCTGCCAAGCCGACTAGGAGAAGATGGAAGGAAAAAGCATTAGTCCTAACAAAGCGAAAACATGTATTAAACACTTCCTGTGTTGAGGACTGTTTTAAACACTATCAAATCAACTCATTTTTGTTCCTCCCCAAACCCTATGAGATAGATTGCCATCATTGTTGTTTTTCCAGATGGGAAAACAGACCTCCTGGGAGAAGTGAGATCCATTGGCTCAAGGCTCCCAAGGGACGTAACTAAGAGTTGAACCCTGGCAGTCAGAGACCAGAGTCCACTTCCTAAACCCCCACACTGTGCTGTCGTGTCCATCCTGTGTGTGCTGCCAGTGTTTGTGTGTGTAAACTGATTCCATAGCAACTCATCTGTCACAGAACCCTCACATTAGACAGTGTTTAAAGACAGGTAATGGCTTAAATTTTTAAAAAGTGGCTTTAAAAAGTGGCACTTACAATTTCTGCACATATTGAACAGTAGCTGAGCTGTCGAGATTTCTTGAAAACTGTTCTCAGAGCCCGTTGTTTGAAACAGTTGTCACAGGAGCCAAAGACATTAACTAGAAAGGTCTGATCACACATCTTTCCCCCAAGATGAAACTGAAAGAGAGAGAGGAAAAAAGAGATGGGTGTGTGAGAAAAGCTAACAGAAACAGCTTTTTAAAACGTCATCTTCGTGTATGATCATGGTAGTTGCTCAGATCTCTCCCTGCGGAATAGTCTATGCAGTTAATTTGTAACCTTTGATATATCACAACACCCTAGGTCAACACCAGTTCTTTTACATAATCAGTAAGAAAGTGTCAGACAACAGATTTTCTGAACTTACGTTTAACCACAGCTCACAGGCATGGACACAAGTGATCTTTGCAGCACAGTATTAATCCTGTGGGGCCTCACAATGGAAAGCAGTTGTAATGGATACTAGAATTTAAAACTTAAAAAAAAAAATTCCCCTCCTCAAGGCGGACTTTGCAGTCAAATGCTCTACCCCTGAGCTATACCCCCTTTCCTAGGGCGGACTTTGGAGTAAAGACAAAAGTCAGAAAATGGCAGAGCCTGACCTCTACCAATGCCATGAGGCCAAGAAAATGCGGTGTTGGTTCCCTGCAAGGAACACATCTCATTAATGAAACATTTGACAGTCACAGCCCCAGGGGTGGCTGCCTGTCCACCCAGAAGTCAACAGACAGGCGCAGGCTACTGAAGGGAAGACAGGCTTGAGGAAGCAAAATTGTCTAGTGCTAAGGGTGGGGCTCTGGCTGACCAGATCCTGGCCCCACTACTTAGGTGTTACTTGACCTCTCTAAATCTCTGTTTGCTAATCTGTCAAACGGGTACTTGAAATCTATCATCATAACATTGTCAGGGGAATTATGAGCGGCAGTGCATGGAGCATTTGGCTCAAAGCCAGGATACAGTGAGTGCCACACGGAGGATTTGCTGCCCTGCTAGTGGGTACGATAGCAGCAGCAGCAGCAGCTGGAGCAGCAGGGGGAGGAGGGGGGAGGGGGCGAGGCTGGAGATGTGGAAAGAGCAGAAAGGGGCCTGTGGCCACCGTTCAGGCAAGACGTGATGAGGGTCTGAACTAAAGCAATGCTGTGGGATGGATTCGGACCATGCTTCTGAAGGAGAGGGAGCTGGACTTGGTGACGTGTGGGGACGGGGAGAGGGAGAGGGAGAGGCCCAGGACGTCTCCTAGGTTTCTGCTTGGGAGGCTGAGGGGCCGTGGTACCAATGTCGGAGGGGGAGGACTAGGGGGAGAGGTGGGAGGGGGCAGCCATTGAAGCTGGGCCAATTTAGTAGGCATTCCAGGGAGTGGGCCACGTCAAGTTTCAAAGAAGTGACGCCTGGAATATGAAGGTATTTCAGGGCACTGATCTGAACATTAGAACAGAGCCCAAATTGAGAGGGATGTATTTGTGGGGTGGGTGGCAGTGGGGACTCCTCTGAGGGGGAATGTCTACCAGACAGAGGTCACGACGGGGCTGGAGCTCGTGTTGGGTGCCTACAGCCAAGGGGCAGCTGGCATAGTTCCTGAGATCTCTAAGGAACACAGTGGGTAGAGGACAGTCCCTAAGGGTGAGATATCAGAGGGAACCAGCTACTGACCACCACCGAGTGCTGGGCCCTGACCTCCCACAGCTGACCTGGGAGGGAGGCAGCGCATCTGTGTTACCACTGAGGAGACGCTGAGGGATTAAACGAGGTCACGGTCAGTGATGGTGGCTGAGTCTGTACGTGGTGGGACTCTACGACCCTTACTGTGGAGCTGGCACGATCAGGCTGCTCTGCTTTGTCACAGAAATTGAGGTAGAGAGAGTGAAAGGGTCTGCCCACCAGAGCCCGGCCTGTGCTGGGGACCCAGTAACGTGGCCCCAGTCAGCCGAGGCGGCCAGCGCAAGGTCGTGCTGAGGACTCCAGGTAATAGCATTAGGTGAGCCGTGGGCTTTTCAGCAAGGGAGCCGCGTCCCTGACGTGGATTATTCCAGCATTTGCGCTTCCAGAAGTAGGTCGGAGAGAGAACGAACAGCAGGACAATCAGCTAGGTTAAGAGACTGTCGTCATGTTCTGGGCAGGAGGAAATGAGCTCGGGACAGAGCAGCAGCTGCAGGAGTGGAAGGCAGGAGGGACCCGAGGGGCCACGTGGAGAAGGATAGCTAGGAGGTCATCCCTCACAAGGGGAGAAGCAGAAAAAACTGCCAGTATTCCCAGTCTGGACAGAGGCAATGTTTTTCTTCTCAGACAGAATTTTCATTTTTTTCAAATTATAAGAGCCATACGTGGTCATTAGAATTGGAAACAAAAGGACATGAGGAAGGAAAACCAATCACCTACATGCCCTGTCCTGACAAATGACTGACCTCTACTGGCATTTTATGTTCTCTTCTAGTATCTTCATAAGCACATATGTGTATACATTTAAAAAATTGAACTTACGTGCCGTGTGCAATTTTGAACTTTAGTTTTTTGCTTAGTATGTTCATCTCCACATGTCATTGCACATTCTTGGAAAATGCTAGTTTTTAAATGGCGACCACAAGTTTTGAATCAGATCAAACTTAAATCACACTGCATAGCTAGCATGTTCGATCTGGTGGGCTGAACGTGAGCAAGCTACAAACTAAACTGGAAAGATTGTACAGTATCTTAAAACTATAAATGTGATACCTGGCCACTGTAGAAAGTTTGGAAAAATAAAAAAGGGGTAAAGAAGAAAACAGTCACCTATAATCCCTTTGCCCCGAGAGACTCCTTTTCACACTTTCGCATATGCAAAAACAGAATTTTAGGCTCACTGGGGTCATACTGTTCATGTATTCTGTTCATATTTTTACAACCTGATGTTTTTTCATTTAGTATTTATAACATGAGCTAAATTTAATTTTAGTACATTCTACTGTACCTACTGTCAACCATTTTGTCAACCAAAAATGGGCAAAGTACCCTCATACTTTGCTGGTGGGAATGTAAATGGTGTAGCCTCTGTAGAAAACAGTTTAGCAGTTACTCAAAAATTTAAACAGAGTTGTTACCAAATGACCAAGCAAATTCACTCCTGGGTATATCTGAAGACAACTGAAAACGTATGCTCACGTAAAACTCATACACTAATGCTCATAGCCGCTTTTAAGCCAAAAAGTGGAAACAACAAAAATGTCCATCAACAGATGAACAAAATGTGGTCTGTCCATACAGTAGACTGTTATTTGGCAACAAAAAAGGATGAGATTCTGATGTGCGCTCCAACATGGATGAACCTTGAAAATGTTATGCTAAGTGAAATAGGGCAGATGCAAAAGACCACAAATTGTGATTCCATTTATATATTTCCAGGATAGGCAAATCCACAGAGACAGAAAGTAGATTAGAGGTTGCCAACAAATAGGGGGAGAGGGGCTTGGGAGTGAGCATGGGGTTTCTTTTTTGGGGTGATGAGAATGTTCTAGATATACATATGGTCAACAAACATATAAAGAGGTGCCCAATATATCCAGAGGGAACCTTAATTCAAAAAGACACATACACCCCAATGTCCACAGCACCACTATTTACAATAGACAAGACATTGGAAACAACCTAAATGTCTATTGACAGATGACTGGATAAAGAAGTTGAGGTATATTTATACAGTGGAATCCTAACAATAAGATAATGCTATTTGCAGCAACATGGATGGACCTAGAGATCGTCATTCTAAGTGAAGTAAGCCAGAAAAAGAAAAATACCATATCACTCATATGTGGAATCTAAAAAAGAAAAGATAAATTAACTAATTTATAAAACAGAAAGACTCACAGACATAGAAAACCAACTTACAGTGACCAGAGGGGAAAGGTGGGGTGGGAAGGGATAAACTGGGAGTTTGAGATCTGCAGATACTAACTACTATATATAAAATAGGTAAGTTTATACTGTATAGCACAGGGAACTATATTCAATATCTTGTAGTAACTTGTGGTGAAAAAGAATATGAAAACAAATCTATGTAGGCTCATGTATGACTGAAGCATTATATTGTACACCAGAAATTGACACATTGTAAACTGACTATACTTCAATTAAAAAATATATATATAAAGAGGTGCTCAACATCATTAGTCATCAAAGAAATGCAAGTTAAAACCACACTGTGAATCCAGTACTCACCCATCAGTGTACCTTACAGTAGAAAAGACCGATGGTATGAGGTGTGGACAAGGATGGAGAGAACCGGACCTCTTCTGCTGGTGGGAGCATGCACTGGAACAAGCGCTTTGGACAACTGGTTGATAGGACCTACTAGAGCTACACACACCAATAATTCCTCTCCTTGATATCTACTCAACAGGAATGAATGCTTAGATCCTCAAAAAATAAAATGAGTAAGAATGTCATAGCAGCTTTATTCATAATAGCCCCAAACTGGAAAAATGTTCATCAGTAGACAGACTAGATACATAAATTGTGATCTGTCCATGCAATAAAGAATAAACTGCTGGTACACATGGCAGTGTGGCTGTATCTCACAGACTTATTATAAAACCTATATAATGTTTAGTGTCAAAACCTCTTTTTATTCCATAATCTGCACTCTGAGGTTTATGTTGACATGTGAAGTGTTACCTGGATCAATTTTTAAAACTGATTAAATGGTTGTAAAGATGCTTAATTTTTCCCCTGATGCCAACACTAAATATATTTTGGGGGAAAAACCCCACTGTAGCTATTTCAAAAGAAAAGCATGTGAATTGTAGAGAAATTAGAACATACGGATTAACCACCACCATCACCTCTCACCCGAGCTCCCAGCACATGGAAAGACCACTGTCAACACCTTGGTGTGCACACACCTGAACGCTTTCTTGAGAATTTAGAACAGCCTGAGTATTTTAATGTAATATTAACACATACCTTCCACAGAGCCAACACTTGGAACTGATGAGCAGAAAGGCGAGAAGTTAGAGCTGCAGCTCCAATGTGCTGAAGCAACTGCAGCCCATCTAACTAATCTCCTTATCCTCTCCTCATCCGGGGTTAGAGCTCAGCTGCTCCTTTCCTTCCCACCAGCAGCTCCGTGTTCACGGCTGGGGCACTCGCTACAGTCTGCATCACTCACTCACCGCTTGAACTTTCTGACCATCCATGCTGCCAGGTGCCCTCAGAACCCCACTGACCAGTTTCTTGGGCTCAGTTCTCTGCTCTCTGCAGGACGCAGAGTTTGGCAGGTTTGACCCCCCGTGAATTCACCCTCTGCTTCACTTAGCAATCCTGACATTCACCTGTGACTGCAGGTTATAAGCAGTTCCTATGCCTCACAGTCCTCACCCCACCAGCACCTCATTGTTTTGGCCATGCTTCCCACCTTCCCCTTTGTAGAACTGATCAAGGCTGTGGGGTGAGCACTCTCCTGACCCTCTCCCCCTTCCCCATGCATAAACTCTTCAGCCTCTGCACTTCCCGCTGTCTCCAAACAAGACATACACCTTCCCAAGGCTGACCCCCAACAAACCCTGCTGGGCTTGGCTCCTGCAGTTCTCCTGCTCTCCAGCATCAGGATGACCTCAGGGATGAGCACCATGCGGATCTGCTCTCCAGGAGCTCACAGGGTAGCCGAGGGAATGGCCAATGCTACCGGTTTATAGCCTGGGTAAGTGCTGCAAAACAGGCAGGAACCCTGAGTTATGGGAGCCGAACAGGAAGGGTGATGAGCATTTGTGGCATTGGGGAGATCTGGAAGGAGAAGAGAGAAGGCCACAGGTGCTGATAGGAAACCCAGCTGACTCTCTGCCAAGTAACCCCTCATTCTGGCACAGTCTGGGAGCCCCAAGGGCACAGACTGAGCCAGGACTTAGGGCAAATTTAGTTCCTCTCTGAACAGTTTAATGTATGTCTTTATAAGGTATTATCAATTTATAAAGATTCCTGCATCTTTAAGTATGATCCTTAAAGAAAGGCATCAAATTTGTGCACTTTAAAAAAAGTAATCTCCTAGCAATTAAAAGAATCTGACCCAATTCATTTGGTAATTCATTTTATTGATTAGAATGTTACAAAGTTCTACTCCTCATTCCTACATATACAATGTATCTAGATGAATTAAATCATTTCTAGTATGAAAAGACATTATTACACATTGGTAAAGTGATGCTGCTTCAGAATTATGGATAATTTCCACCCCTAAGATGTATGTCTGTGTTACAGAGCTACAGCTATTGCCTGGGACTTTGGGGTGCTGCGGGAGAGCACTGGGTCCACAGGCCATTGGCTAGGAGTGCTTGTCAAATGACGTTTCATGCTCTGGAAGGAAGAAATGAGAAGGTGTGGGGCATCAAGGAATAGTCAGTGCCCACAAAACCTGGGAAACAGGTTTCTCAAAAGGAGGAACTGACATAATTCTTCAGTTATTTTTATGAGAAAAAATTTAAACATATTTGAATGCTGATATGATAGAGAAAATCATTTAGGTTGCCTTTTCAAACTCATTTTTTTTAAAAAAGTTACTGTATGAAAGATATTAAACAATGAAAAATTGTGGCAAATATGTTGGCAGATAAAATTTTAAAAAAGTTCTTTTGGAGGAGATGATAATGGTGTGGCAGTTAAGCTTGAATGACATATTAGTTCTATACAGAAAAATACATAAAGCTACTCTTCATATGATTCATTTCAGATTGAATAGTCTCTTGAAAAATTAGAGGAGCCTGAAATAAATTTTTTTAATGCAGGAGCATTTTTAGTAAAAAGGGTCAGGGGAAGCACCCCAACCCCCTCAGGCAGGCGTGGGGTGAGAAGACTGCTGACAGGCTGTCACGGCCAAACGGGATTATTTGGAAGACTTACCCCCGGAACCCATTTGTGGCTTCATAAATGTACCTGGACTTCACATGAACCTTAGAAAACTTGGGAGAAACTGTGTCCCCAGGTCTCATTCACCCTGGGAGGACGCTTGTCACAAGACAGATCTAGACAAGAGGCACCTGGCAGAAAGTATGAGCCTTGCAGGAATTCCAGTAAAAGCTGGCTGAGATTCCAAGGCTAGATGTGGCCTTTCCAACCTCAGCTGGTGGGTGTGAATTCTTACAAGGTGACAGCGGCAGCACTGTCACCCTGAGCAAAAGAAGATGTGGCCCATTTGGGAGAATTCTTACTTCCTTTTTTAAATCATATTCCAAAGCATTTCTGGTTCCAACGAGCAAGCCACATCCCTCACATTTGACCTCCATTTAGCTACTGAGGGAAAAGCGCATTTACTTTCCTTTTCCTGCTATAATCTATTGAGAAAGCCTAGCTTGAAACTGCTGGGGATCTCGATCATTTCCAGAGCATGTGGAGAGGGGGTGAAAGGAAATGTGACTTGAAAGAGGTATTTGGTATCCAACATCAGGTGTGATGAATCCTCTCGGCTGTTTAGGAGAGCCTGGAATGAGAACCAAGAGGACAAACGAATAAGGAAACCAGCGTGTTCTGCTTCATTGCTGTCTGCAAGTCAAGAGTAAGGAAAACACAACAACTCTAGGTCCAGGAGAAACTCCTTTCAAAATCACGGGAGATGACACACAGAAGGACTTTTTAACAGCACAGCTCCAAGGTGAAATGGTCTGACCAGGACTTCCAAATCAGCTCTCAGGAATACTTACTTAATTTCCCACAGGATGCACTGGCTGGAAATCGTTGTTTTCTATTCTTACCTATTCTCATGGCATAATTCTAAGCCCAAACATGAGTAGAGCTCAATATTAAATTTTTATAGCATTTATATTTCTTTTTAGTTCAGTGGTGTGCAAACTTTTCTGGTCTCAGGACCCTCTTTATACTCTTAAATTATTGAGGACCGCAAGCAGCTTTTGTGAATGTGGGTACAGCTATTGATATCTATCATATTAGTAATTAAAACAGTAGTTTAAAATATTCATCAATTCATTAAAATAATAAGAACAAATCCAATACATGTTAACATATTTTTATTGAAAAATAACTATTTTTGGAAACAAACAAAAAACTAGTGAGAAGTGGTACGGTTTTGTAATTTTGTAAATCTTCTTAATGTCTGACTTAGTATGACAGGCGGAATCCCTTATCTGCTTCTGCATTTACCTGTTGTGATATATTATATCGGTTGAAGTCTATGAACAAAAGTCTGTCTCACACAGGTATGTATTTGGAAAAAGGAAGACTTTGCAGACTCCCTGAAATCATCTCAAGGACACCCCCCTACCTCCAAGGACCCTTGAACCAAACTTTGAGAACTGCTGCCCTAATTCATTGGGGAAGAAACTGTAGGGATTAAAATAAGAAAAAAATGGGTACACAGGTTCTCTATTTCCACTCAGCCTCTGTTCCCCTGCACACACTCAAAGGCTGACAAGAAATAAGACATGCTGAAGGAAGCAGAATGTGAGTCACGGTTCTGAAAATTGGGGGAATTTGACAAGGAAAATTCCTGCTGCTGTTGCTGGGCACCTTTCATAGGTTTGTTCGGTATATGTACTTTATTCCTGAATTTCTATAATGTTAATTACATATCACTTTCTTATACTAAAAATTAAAAAGTATTTCCTTAAGGATCTCACCTGCACTTTGCGAACGAAGGATGGAGTCACTCTTTTCTCGAAGTCATCAATAGGTGTGTACAAATTAAGGATCTTTATGATCTGCAAAGAGCACACGAGCTGGTGTTAGCCCAGGAGAAAGGACAACTCTGTCCATGAGATAATGGTTCCGATGGTCTGGGAAGAGTCGGGAACCAGAGGTGGTTCTTTTACACTGTAATTTGGTTCCAGGAACCATGTGTTATGTTTTTGCAAGGAAAGAGAAAACAAATGAGAAGAGCATAGAAGGGAGCAAAGATAATCATATAATTAGACGACAGTGAGAGAATCCCCCATTTCCAGCCTCCTTCCCTGCTCCCCTCCCCCCCCCACATCTGTGATTTTAGTGGGCAGAGAACGTGTCACATGCACTTTTATGTTTTTAAGGCCTAGAGTTAGTATTTAATAAATGCTCGTTAGAAAAGAAGGTGGGCCATGGGAGATATGTATGCTCCTCAGAGAGCACACAGGGAGGCAGATGCTCTGCATGGCTGGCTGAGCCAGCGAAGGCGATGCCAATTACACCATCTGTTGGGGAGGATCAGGGAGACACTCAGCAAGCCTGGTCACCTGCACAGCAGACAGGGAGGTACAGCGTTCGTAGATCTCCTTGGCATCACTGTCTGTGGTCTTCTTGACCTGAAGCAACCAGGCTGCCTGAGAGAGAGGTTCCAAAGTTTCCTTGGCCAAGCTGTTCTGCAAATTCTTATCTTGAAGCCACTCTTCTAAGTAGCTGATGTTGCACCTGGAGTAAAAGCCAGGGGAGCAGAGAGCAGTGGGTGATCCATTTAGAACACTTTAAGGAGGTTGCCAAACCCCCTAGTGTGTCCCGATATGGTACCGGAGTTCACTGAGATCCTTTGGACCACAGACCAGCAGTTTCTTCATTTGTAACAAGAGAGAGTTGGACCAGATGATCATGGTCCTAGAACATCGTCATGATCCATGGTTTTAAGGACAGTTGATGTTCTAGGCGGAGGGTCCATAACAGCCATAAACTTGGGAGAAAATCTGAGCAAAGAACAGTGACTACAATAATTTATTTATTAAGTCATCTATTAAAGTAGCCTTAATAATAGATTCAAAAATATATTAAAGGAAAAAATTATAGCAATATTTGAAGGTAAGACATACATTGGTATAAAAATTGTTTGATTTCCTTTCCTAAATAGGCAGAAAAATTTCAACTGGTAGAAGGCTTTCTTTCAGGCCACTGGGGTTTTTAACCCTTGTTTCTGTCACTGGTTATCACAGGTTTACAAGGTAAGAGGCATGGGTTGTAGTCCTACCAATCCATTGTGTGAGCCTGGAGAGTTACTCAACCTCTCTGGGTAAATCAGAGGGTTGAGAATACTCACCCACTGCTAGTGGGAATGTAAATGGTAGAGCTGTTAAGGAAAACAGTTTGGCAGTTCCTCAAAATGTTAAACATAGAAGTACCACCTGACCCAGCAATCCCACTTCTAGATATTTACTAAAGAGAACTGAGAGCATGTCCACACACACATACACAAAACCATATAGAAATATTCATAGGACCATTATTCATTATAGCCAAAAATGAAAACAACTGAAATATCCACCAACTGATGGGTAAACAAATTGTGCTTTGTCCGTACAATGGAATATTATTCAGCCATAAAAAGGAGTGAAGTACTGATAGCTGCTACCACATGGATGATCCATGAAAACATTATGCTAAGTGAAAGAAGTCAGTCACAAAAGACAACCTATTTCATGATTCCATTTATTTAAAAATGTCCAGCATAGGCAAATCTACAGAGAAAGAAAGATATTTGTTGCTTAGGTAGAGGGGGAGAGGACTCCCCAGTGGGATGTGGGTAGGGGATAAGAGTGGCTGCAACTGGGTGTAAGTTTTCTTTCTGGAGTGATGAAAATGTTCTAAAATTACATTATGGTGATGGTTGCGTTATTCTGTAAATATACCCAAACCCACTGAACTATACACTTTAAATAACGAACTTTGTGTCACGTAAATTATGGACCAATGAAGATGTTTTTAAAAGTTGAATGTTGATCTCTGAGGTCAGTCCTAGCTCTGACCTTCCTGAGTAGCAACTCCCTGTAGGGGTCTTCTCTTTGGTTATAACTGGGACAACAATGCTGAATTAATGTATTCCACAGGGACTAATGAGTGTGAGATAACATCTCTTGCACTGTTTATCCCTTTTGGCAATGTTAATTTTGCCCCACTAGTTTAAGATTCCTAATGGGCCTCCCATCTCACCCCTTCTAATCCATCCTATTCAATCCTGCCACAGTCTTTCTAAATCTGAATTTTGAACAGGTTAATTTTCCCACTCAAAAATCTGGGTTGGAGTCCTGGTTCTTGGTAATATGGAGTAAGCACTCCACTTTGTCTTTCCCACTGAATGCAACTATAAAACCTGGAAGGAATTTGAGGACTCTGAGAAGTAAACAGAGCAGGTGGATTGGGGAGGAAAAGCAGAATTTGAAGTATCTCCAAATTGACACTATCTTCCCCTCTGCTATTCACTGGCCTGAGCTCAAAGCAGCCTGACACTTAGGAGCGGGCACTGGTGATAACAAAGAGCTCCAGGAGGAGCCCTCCAGTTGTGGCTCGAGGTGCTGAAGGGGGGTATCCTAATGCTCTGAGAGAGAGTGGAAATTGTTTTTCTTTTTTGTCCTTTTCCTTTCTTTTTCTACCTTCTCTCATGTGCAAGCCCTAAACAATCCCATGGTGGTGGCAACAGGGTCCAGTAGGAATCTAAAACTCTTGAGAGATGGGAACTTTCTTCAACTGGAGGAGCTGTGGCTCAAGAGGATGGGTGAACCCCACTTGCTCCATCCTCCCATCACTTGGCCCCACATGGGATATCTGCAGGAAGTGTGCCACACAGTGAATTAAGTAAAAACCCAGTTTTCTGTCTGGAGGACCAAAGAGGGGGTCCTCAGTGATCTGGAAAGTACCAGGGGTATTATGGAGAGGGAGGAGCTTGGGAAAGTGACCCTTAAATTGTTTATGAATTCCTGGGCACAACCATGAGCCCATGCATGGATCTGACCCTCAACAGCACACACCAACTTTGAGGACTAAACTACGGGATTGAGCATCACCCAAGTTTCAGACTGCCCACAGTGTGACACACACAAGACAGAACCAAACAGCACTGCAAAAGCTTTGGAAACTGAACTGACATGGGAATCACAACCCCCAGAGGATGGTCAGAACTTGCAGCCTGAACCCGAATGGGTTGTTTATCTGATAAAATATCAACATTCTCCATAGGATTTAAAGACCCAATGTCTCCTAATATAATAATAAAAGTGTCCAGAATATAATTCAAAGTTATTTGGCATATGAAAACCAGGAAAATCTTAAGTCACATTAGACAAGACAATCAACAGATGTCAACTCTGAAATGACACAGATGTTAGAATCACCTGACAAAGATTTTAAAGAAGCTATACGAAAAATCCTCCAAAAAAGTAAAGACAAACTATCTTGAAGTAAATGGAAAGAGAGAAAAGTCTCTGAAAGGAAATATCTGTTTAAAAAATTGGAAATTTTCGAGCTGAAAAATAAAATAATAGAAACGAACTCACTGAGTGAGCTCAACTGCCAAATAGAGACGGCAGAGAAAAGAGTCAGTGACCTTCAAGGGATCAATAGAATTTATCCAATCTGAAGAGTACAGAGGGGAAAAAACTGAAACAAACAAACAAACAAACAAAAAACCCCCCACAGAATTTTAGGGATAATGAAATAGTGAAAGATCTAACATTTGTGTCACTGAAGTTCTAGAAGGAAAGGAGAAAGTATTATGCAGACAAAATATTTGAAGAAATGGCTGAAAAAT